GTTTTCCCCCCCCCCCCCCTACTAAACAATGCGATATAAATTGTGATGTATTAGCCTGTAGAAGAATTGCCGCAAACGAGCTTGTCCGCTTCTCTGTTTTTTTTCTTCTCACAATGTTTAATGTATTCAGACAATAATTACCCAAGTGTTATTTTTCTGGGGTAACCTCAAGTGATAGCTTTTCTCATGGGTATACTGCAATGTTTGCACAACTTTTTCTCGATGAGTGAAACTTGGAACTTTATCTCTCGAAGTTTCCGAATAAATTTGAAAGCTTTTCAAAATAAGTACCCTGAAGTCGGTATGGTCATACTGAGAGTGTTCTGGGTTTTCATGTTTGATATTATCGAACCTTTTTCACTGAACGAAGGTTGCAGTAAAAAAGAGATAATTCCATAGCCAAACATTTCAATAGATGTTCGGGTCCGTCAGCGATCAGTCAGAGTCATGTATCATGTGTGTTTCAGTTTCAGTTTTTTACAATCAAAATGGATATCACAATGTTGACGGTAACTGAGTAGTTCGATTCCAACCACCTGAAAAAAAACTGTTTATAAGATTGATAAGTGATCTAAAGTCAGTAAGTCACTGGTCATCTTATTAGTCAAGAGTGCTGAAAGTAAAGTAGTGCTGTGCCATCCTAAATCCCGAAAAAGTGGGCAGTAAGTAAATAAACTTGACTGCTCACTATTCATTGATGATTATTATGCAGTCTGTCAAAACCGAATTCGCTTTCTATCAAGTCTGCCTTCGTATATGCTAGTTTTCCCTCAAAAGCAAACAATGAGTCATCATTCAGTCTCCAATTATCTGTGGAGCACGCCTGAATTTTAACTTTTCTGTCACCTTTTTGTTAACGGATATCAAACACTCTTAGCACCAGTCCTAATACCCATTATGCTCCTGAGAAGTTACAATCTGTTGGAATTGTGTGCCACTTTTTTCGGTTCCCGTCACTACAGATCCCGGTGATCCGGAGAAGGTGGCTGTGATGGATGTACAAGTGGAGCCGCAATCAGTCCCGTTGGTCGGTGCACGACCGTTGGATAAGGAATCTGTTCCGACTTCAACGAATCAGCCGCTAGTCATAATTCCATTAGATTGTGATCCAGATGAATCACTCGATATGAATGAAGCGTCATATATGCAAGATAATTATATCACTCCCAATCGACCACGCTCTTCCACTGGGACCAGGGTCAAGGATAGTTCCCAGAGTAGTTTGGCACGGTGTTTCTTGCGCATAACTGGTATGACTTGTAGCTCATGTGTGCACCTCATTGAGCAGAATCTCATGAAAATGCCAGGTATGTTAAATGTCTTTGTCTACACTCAATTTCAGGCCTTTTTGTATGCCGTGATCCTAAACGAAATCGACCGTCAAGTTTGGGTCCTTAATGCAATTGATATTCTCGGATTGGCAGTCATACAGTTTCGCTTTCTCACTTATCAGATTACGGTTTCGTTCGTCTATTTCTCGCTTGGTATCTGAAATGTTGCACAAACTCCTAAGGTATGTAGACCTGCTCCGAATATGATTTCACGAACCAGGATCTGCGCTTACGTAAGGTCACTTGAAAGACTCACGCGTATCGTAGACAACAATTCACTTTCAGCTCGACAATTTGAAATATTTTCGCACTGAAAGTGATCAGAAATCGAAGTAATTGGATACTGTCAGTAAAACCCATGGTAAATCTTTACGACCTATTTTAAGTTCGTTGAAGGGAACTATTTCCGCGGTTCCATCCCTTGTTACACGCCGTGGGCAAATCTCAGATAAACTCATATAAGTGTTTTCCTTACAACTTGGAAAGCAATGCACGTTCTGATGTGCACTGGTTTGAATGATGTGGCTTCGAAGATTCCACCTTCGGTTATGATGAATCTATAAACTTTGGTAATTTCAAGAATTGGGTAAATGTTCCTTCGGTCGAATAAACCAGTGCCGTAGAGGTCTTTATCAGCTTATTCATCTTTTCCCCGCTAGCTATCAGATTGGCAGAAACTAATCAAATAGGTTGTACTTTGGGTTTGAAACACAAAATGGATTTGGCTCTTTTTAACCGACTGGTTGATCCTCTTTTAAAAGCACATATCATTCCATTTTATTTTAACTGTGTTGTTCGTCTCCTCTAACTGGGTTGAAAATCAGGCTGCATGTTCCTGACCAGTGATGAGTAAGGCTGAAAGTTGCCTTTACGACGGTTTTCTTTCATCCATGTACGCTATTCCTAAATTGTCAATTTTACGAACGGCTGGGATCCGTTGTTTAAATCGCTTCCAGCAGTGCAATGATCAGTATTTAAATCTCATGAATGGTTATAAACATGAAGTGAAATGGCTGAATATCATGAACATTGGTGCTCTCGCATCTCTTCAGTTACTACACGTCTTGATTGCCCTTATTCTGTAGTTTTGGCGTAATCTCACTCAGCTTTAGTTTAACCCATAAAATTCATAATTCATAAAATTGGTAACCCAAAGACCAGGGCACGTAAGTGCATTGTAAATCATTATATGGACTTAAACCGAATACCATTGTTTGCAATGTTCTTAACAGCTCGCTCCTCTTTCACTTCACCTGGTACTATCTCATTTCTAATGAAGATTATCCGTTCTCCTTGAAATACGTTTGACCTCTTCATGAGTCCCGTATCTTCATCCACAAGATTAGCTCCATTGGGAACCACGAGTAACGGCATATGTGAATAATAATAGTGGGGGAAAATATAAAACAAACTTTCTATATTCGTCAAATTTCAGTTGAATTATCCGTGCATGTATTGAGTCTCCGTTTCTCATTATGTGCACTTGCTTATTTTTCACAGGGGAATTCGTCGTGTATATAGCAAATGTAACGTGAACTGAAAAACTCGGAAACACTGGAGAGCTGTTCCGACCTGTTTAAGTCTCATCAGGAGTGCGAGTCCATCAACCCAACTGGGGATCGAATCCGGGATCTCATAGGCAGAACGCAAGCATGATATTCCCTCAGTCTCCGCGTAGGCGAGTGCCGAGATTAGTAAGGTGCGATGCCCACAACAAGCTCGCAAAGATGGATTGTGCTATACCGTTTAAATAGGAAATAAAAAACGGTCTAACCAGCTGTCCAGTGATCGAGTGGGTAGCATGCTTGCGTTCTGCCTATGAGGTCCCCAGTGGGGTCGATGGATTCGCGCTGCTGATAAGACCCACAAAAGTCGAAACAACTGTCCAGTGTTTCCTAGATTTTCAGTTCACGTTTCATTTCATATATACTACGAATTCCCCCTTTGAAATTGAATCCAGTCCTCAATTACTCTCGTGTAACTTGCTTATTTGTTTGTTCTGTTGTATCGTTTTCAGGAGTGCACAATGTTTTAGTAGCATTGATTGCAATGAAGGGTGAGGTTTGCTACGATCCTCAATTGGTAAACCCAAATCAGATAGCATATCGTGTTACAGAACTTGGTTTTGAAGCAGAAATAATCGAACAAAACGATTGCTTGAAAGGTGAAACTCGCGCCAAGTTACTCCTAACGGTAAGTGAATTCTCATTCAGGATGCGTTCGGCGATTGTCACTATTTACCTGAAATTTTGCAAACAATTCTAGTCGATTACCATTATTTTGAAACCAATGGTCAGCTGTTTCTCTTCACTGCGGTTGGGCCAAAAATAAACTGACTATCACTAAAGACGATACTTGAACAAACATGAATTTGCAATTCGGTTCAGCTCTGGTGTGAGCGGTTTGGTATAGCGGTAACACGCCTTCGGTGCGATAAGTCCGGACTGCATAGGGCGGACTAAATGGTAGATATACATGACTGAAGAGCTCCAGTAAGAGCGAAACTAAAGTCTAGTGCTTCTGAGTCATCATCATCATCGTGCAGTGAAATACAGTGAATCAAACTTCACTGATCACTGCCAAGCTCACAATGCACACAAATCAAGTTACAAAGCAGAAGCTGGAGAGGGGTTAGGCCTAATTGGGGGGAGGCCAAGAAAATGAACCTCTATGGTCAACACAGAGTATACAATCTAAATATGTAAAATTATCTTTTCGAGCATTCTTATCTGATGAGAAATAACAGCAGGAACACCATGCCAGACGGGTAGTTTCCATATCCTTCAGTATCTCCAACCAACCAGTTGCAGTCTTTTGGACTCCAAACTGGTAGACGGCAGACCTATTCTACCTAGTCGTTCTGTGCATTTCTTCATGCCTCGTTTCCACGTCATCTGTTGACCCCGACGTGGCTTCCTACAACCCGGACCCGCGACTACGAATCGGGCGCGGTACGGCAGACGATGGCTGGGTATGCGCAGTACGTGTCCTAACCAGCGAAGCCGACCAATCTGAATTCGATGAGAGCACGAATTCCCCCTAAAATCACTACCAAATACGCGACGCCTTACCTCAGAGTTGCTTACACGCTCGCTCCATCAAACCCGCGCCAAACCACGTCAACATCGGCAATCAAACACTTACATACAATGAATATCTTCCACGCAAACGTCAAGGGTCCCGCATCCGTAAAGCAGAACTAATTACACACTGCGCAGTATTCGCGACTTTTCACTTTCAAGGAAACATCACGTCTGCACCAAAGGTGTTTCAGTCCTGCGTAAGCTGCTTGAGTCTTGGAAATGCGGGCGATAATTTCATTGACTATGCTACCCTCATTTGTCACACAGCTACCTAAGTAGGAGAAACAATCCACTATAACTAACTCTTGATCATCAAGCATCAGCGCCAAAGTAGACGATACCCAGTTTTGTAGTATCACTGTGCACTTTTAAGGTGAAAAGTGCATACCAAATGGAGTTAAAGGACATGAAATTCTGCCAAGAACACTTTGCGCGTCTTCTATACATTCAGGCAAACAAACGATATGGTCAGCGTACTCCAAACCACACAGCTTTTTTCCATCTTTCTATTCAATACCAACATTTTGGAGACCACTAAGTGCGTTCTCCAGTATTTCGTCTGTGACGAAATTAAACAGGAATGGCGAAATAGAGCACCCTTGACGAACACCGCCCCTGATTTCGAACGATTTCTTTAGCCCACCATATACCTTTACTCTACCAGAAGTATGTTCGTACAGCGGTCGCAATAGGTTTGCATAATTCTGCGACATTCCTTTGCGAAGCAGCGACACTATAAGAACTTGATGGTCAACTGAATCGAAGACTCCTTTCAGGTCAAGGAACACTGCGATTGTTGGTCGACGATGTGTGTGACGCAATTCGAGGACTTGACGCAGAGTACAGATTCGGTCGACGCAATCTCGACCTGGTCGGAATCCCGCTTGCTGTTCGCGAATACTCATCCCCCTTAAGTGTGTCAGGCGGCGAAGTATCACAGAAGTCAACACTTTTGTGGTTATCGCGCAGTCGTGGCATGATATCTACTTGACGATCGGAACGATCAACGATTCATCCCAGGATAAAGGGATACGCTCCTCCGATCAAATGCTGTGAAGTAGGCTAGTAATAGAGTCGATGAGAGAGTCACCTCTCAGCTTGAAAAGAGTGGGTAGGAACCAGTCAGGTTCCGCTGCCTTCCCTTTCTTTAATGATTTAATGTAGCTTCGTACTTCCAATTCTGATGGGGGCTCACATTACCACCCATGGAGTTTCCGCCGCAATTGTCGGAATAACCGAGTTAGCACTAGGTCAATTGAAATTTTCACTAAAGATCAAGTCGTTCTTCTTTATTGTTGATACTCTGTCCACTTTTATCGCAAGTAGTCTCACTGACCCGTATGCGACGACTTCCGGTGCTGCGTATCAAGTGAAACAGTGTTTGACTATTCCCTGATGCAGTAGCTACCTCCATTTACTAACTGCAACTAGCTAATGCAATGGACAGTGCGGTCCTGATTATCCTGCGTGACGACCGATGCAGTATGAAAATATTCTTAGTTTGTATGTCCATTGGAGCTTTATGGACGGGTACTGCCAGGGTGTTCAACCGCTAAGCAGGGAACGACTAGGATTCTCAACCAAAGCCTTCAGTTCTGACAAGAACCTAACCGAAATGCAGCGGTCACGGCGAATTGAAGGTTCATCAAGTTATNCTCACTGACCCGTATGCGACGACTTCCGGTGCTGCGTATCAAGTGAAACAGTGTTTGACTATTCCCTGATGCAGTAGCTACCTCCATTTCGCTATTTGGCCCACCAGTTATCGCGATCTTTCTTAGGGCTTTTCCTGAGTTGACCTTGCAGGTGTTGCCTCTCCCTATGCTGATCGTGACAGATGGAGATCTTTCGCTTTTGATCCACAGGGACTACTGACTCATGAGAGATACAGTGTCTTCGACAAACCGCCTGCCCAGCCCCACAAATCAAGTTTGCTGCTGAGTGCATCGCATATCTAACTTGATCCTATGTTATTCTACTGCACCATGTCGCGGTTCTCTTAGCCCCTGTCCCAACTTCTCAACGCGCGCAAGCGGATGGATCGCCCAGACGATGATGAGCTAACTGAGGAGTCGATTTTTGACGATAACCGATGAGTCGAAGCTTGAAGCTCATCAGAAGTAATGCGTGATCAGACTGAACGCAGGTAGCCAATAGGATCTGTAATTTTGTTCTGAACCACGCCAAAGGTAGCTTACAGCTAGGTGATCAATTTGGTCAACTCTCCCGTTGAACTAGAAGACCATGTAGCCCATCGACGAGAACTGTGTCGAAAATTGCTGCTACTCTAGAACAACCGATGCTCCGCGTAGAACTGAGGTAGTTGATCACTGTTATCCGTTCGCTGTGCGGGAAAAGCGAAGCGCTCCCTTAGGCAGGCTTCGGATGCGCTCAGTTTTCCAACCTGCGCGTTGAAATTACCCGTCAGCACTATAACATCAGAGTTACGGCTCAATCGGATGAGCTCGGTTTAGTCGAACGAGAATCTATTGATAGGACCCCTCTAGGTGGTTTGAATCCAAGTACTTCACTGCATTATACCTGTCTGTATTTCACGCTTGGTTCTTCAAATGCTTGCGGGTTATCGTCGTTTGAAGGCCGAGTGGTGTCGGGAATCTCTCTTCATAAAATCTTCCTGGACTGTCCAATAGTGGTGTTCGTAAAACCGCTCTCAAGAGCTAGCCGAAGTGAACTAAGTTTCCAATATTGAAATTCCTAAATCATGATTCCCGGTTTTTTATCAGTTCATTTGTGCTAAGGGACCCGTTTTCACCGGGATGAGTATAATCCATCTTAGTTTCATTGAAATGCAAATAAAGCCCCCACACATGCCAATTTCTTTCATTTATGATGATGCAATTGAGAATCTTTTGATGTGGCAAAGGAATAAATCATTTTTCCAGGCAAGTCAGAAGAAAAACACTGCGAAAGGAATTCCTTTCGTACGCTCTCATCGGTTGCGTATGTATAACATTAAGTAAGATAGACAAATGACACATTATTAAACGTAACTAGATTTCTTAACACACTTCATTTGTCTATCTGGTTCAATGTTATGCGTACGCGACCGATGAGAGTATAAGAATGGAATTCCTCTCGCAGTGTTCTTCCAACTTGCCTGTTCAATTTCATTAAGAGATCTAAATGTTTCAATTAATCATTTGACTTATGTTTTGCACTAAGTAGGTTGTTGTTTGACGCCTTTGTCACTTTAGTACTCAACTCTTTTCAATTTCTCTTTGCAACCAAGGTAACCGATGCAGTCTCCGTTCCCGGTTTGGGAATACAATGTACAGTCACCATATACCCAAATGATTGTTCCCCCGGTCCTAAAATTCCCCGGCCCCTCTCTCTTATCACCGTGCCCGTTCCTCAAACAACTGACCATTCTAAATCCCACCTGCCATCTGTGAATGATCAGTCTGAAGCAGACTTGGTCGCGGCTGCATCGCGCATGCGACTAGACTATATTGCATGTCTTTGGCCTCAACGACCTAGCAAGGTTCTCAATGAAGCCGATAAGTCTGAATTGTTGCTGACTTCCAGCACAGCCCCAACCGATCTCTTGAGCGAATCCATTCGCTCGACCGATCAGCCTCCATATGAATATGATATCATGCGTTCGACTTTTACGGATATTCCATTTGATTGGGCAGGTAAGTTAACTTTTTGATCTTTCACTTCATGAGAAACCTATATTTTCCTGTCTTCACTCGACCTGTGTAATATATAAATCGTTTAAAATTAAAAATAGAGTGATACTCCTTTGAATCGTTTTGTCTTAGCCAGAGATAACTTCAAGGACAGTGTAAACTTCATTAGTTGATAGGATGCCAAGCTTGTAATACGTTCATGAGAATAGTGCACAGGAGAGCTTGGTGTCAAACAGCTCAGCATTTATGACACCGTCAAATCATCATCATCATCGTACAGCGAAATACACTGAAGCGAACTTCACTGACCGCTGCCAAACTCGCAATGCATACAAGGTTAGTGGTGAAATTAAAGGTGGACAGGGATTGGATCTATTTTGAGGGAGGGAGAAAATGAGCCACTATGGTTAACACACAGAGTACGCATTCGAACTCTGCATACCGTTTCAAGCATTCTGGCCTAATAAGAAACGACAACAAGAACTCCACTGCTGCCGGTTCGCTGCCATATCCTTCAACGTCTCCAACCAACCAGTTGTGGAGTCTTTCGGACCCCAACCTGGAAGGTGAGAGACACCTACTATACCTAATGAATCTGTGCATTTCTTCATGCCTCGTCATCTGTTGACCTCCACGTAGTTTCCTCCAGCCCGGATTAGCTACAGCGAATAAAGCGCGGTGCGGCAGACAATGACTGGGCATACGCAATACGTGCCCTAGCCAGCAAAGCCTAGTAATCTGAATTCGGTGTGCCAGCAGGTTTATGCTTGACAGACTCCCAAACACACGACGGCTTACCTCCACGTTACTAACCCGTTCGCTCCATCCAACATGAGCTAAATTGCGTAAATACCTATAATAGTGATCCTCTAGNCGACGGATATCTTCTACTCGTAAATTCAGGGTCTCACAACTATAAAGCAGGACTGAACGAACGCTAGCACAATGTACACGACTTTTCAACTTCAGTGAAACGTCGCGTCTACGCCAAAGGTGTTTCAGTCCTGTGTATGCTGCTCGAGCCTTGCAAATGCGGGCGGTTATCTCCCTGCTGCACTACCGTCATTGGTCACATCTACCTAAGTAGGAAAAGTAATCCACCACAACTAAATCCTGACCATTTAGTGTCAGAGTTGGAGTGGACGAAACCCAGTTCTGCAACATCACTTTGCACTTTTAAGGTGCCAAATACATACCGAATGTGGCTACTGCACTTGTTAATCTATCAAGTGCACTTTGCGCGTCCTCCAAACATTGGAACAGACAGGCGACATCATCGGCGTATTCTAAATCGCATAACTTTTCTCCAGCTCTCCCTTCAATACCTACGTTTTGGAGTCCCCTTAGTGCGCTCTCCAATGTTTCGTTTACGACAAAATTGAACAGGAACGGTGAAAGAGGGCATCCTTGACGAACGCCGCTGCTGGTGATGAACGGGGTACTTAGTTCGGTNGTATGTGAGTACAGTGACCTCAGTAGGGTAACGTACTTCTGGGGCATTCCTTTTTAAAGAATGGAACCCATCAGAGCTTCGCGGTCAACTGAGTCGAAGGCTCATTTCAGGTCAAAGGACACTGCGATCGTTGGCAGACGGTGAGTATGACGTCAAATACCAACGGGAAACGCAAGTCAAGAGTTAGCTATTGTGTTGTCACTATAAACTTTCTGATTTCCTTTTATCATTCCATTTTATGTTTATGAAAAAGTTAAATATAATGTTCCGTTTAATTAGTTCTTTGAATGAGTTATGTTAGTTTTGTGCTTCCCTCCATATAGATGTTAGCAAAGGTGGTTCCTTTGTGGTCCATATTGGCAGTCGAGAATGGCTTAACCAAAACCGGATCGCACTACCTATGTTGGTTTCACCAATATTTTCGGAACACGGCCGCCCAAGTTGTACATCCACAGACCAGCTACCGACACTCGAATCCCTGATCGCAGCGGATGAAGCGCGGGGGCAAACTGTGGTCTTAGTAGCAGTTGACCATCATCTGATCGGGCTTGTCAGTGTGGAGGATCCAGTGAAGCCAGAAGCTGCGCTTGCCGTCGCTGCACTACGTCATCGTGGCATTCGTGTAGGCTTATTGACGGGGGACAACTGCCGCACTGCCACGGCTATTGCACGCCAGGTTGGTATTCGTGATGTGTACGCAGATGTGCTACCTGCTCACAAAGCGGCTGAAGTTAAACGTCTTCAACGGTCTGCTCGACCTAAAAAGCGACGCCAAATACAGCCCGCCCCATCTGATTTTGTACAGCAGCAGTCATGTAAACAGCAATTAACAGCGGCATCAATGATTGAAGATAGTAAGTAGTTTCCAAAGACTCGGTTTTTATTCAAGTTTTTACCATTTCTCCACAATTATCTCGTTTTGCTGGTATTTTTTTCTATCAAAGTTCAGAACGTTATGCACAACCTTTCATTCGACTTCGTTTTTAGGTCGCTCTACTTCAGATAGTGATTCTACATTTGGAAATCCACGGCTGAGTTCATTGACAAACACTAATCAGGATCCAATCCAATCACCTCTCGGACGTCCACCTGTTCCATCTCGATGGAAACTGCTTCTATACTGGCTCTTTTGTTTTACTCGATTTCGTTCCAGACCAACAATTAAACAAAATGTGGCCTTACGGCGCCGCCGATTGGAACGTGAAGAAAGACGCCTCAAAAGACAGAGCCTTCANTAGAAGCAGCGGACGTCGTTCTTATTCGCGATTCGCTAGTCGATGTAATTGGCGCTATCGATCTTTCCAAAGCAACTGTACGGCGTATCCGGTGTAACTTTGTAGCCGCCACTTTGTACAATATGATTGGCATACCTATTGCCGCTGGTAAGTACCTTCAATATAACAGCAGCTTCTTATCAAGAACTAGAGTTAAGTGATTCATGTATAATTGTCCTTCTTTCAAAATCGTTCTGCATAACTCGCCATTTGCACCCAACCTCCATCTTTTTTATGTGCTAGTGGTACGTTTGCACCGATTCAGGTATAATACAGATCTAGTTGTCCATGATATTGTTCTTTGGAGTAATTGAGTTCAGTTTAGCATAAGAATATCTATCGACTTGGCTCAGTTTATTGAAGTTATTTCCCTTCACAGTGTGGAGTGGTAAATTTTGTAATCCCTCAAACTTCACTGGAATGAATGATAGGTAGAGGGATCTTACTGGTTTTAGTGTTCCATCTGTCAGAGTGTATGGTCCTTTGCTGGTCCATTATTTTATTATGGATGCGTAGAATTTAGTGATCTTTACGCAACAAACTACTTGTAAGTAGCCTGGTTTGTTAAATGAAAAGACGACACAAATTTAATATAAAACGCCTGACTGCGTTACTCATTTACACGTCATAGCATGTTATGTAAACAACTATATTTTGTTCATCTTTTTAGGTTGTTCCATCTAATGCTTAGTTCTGTCATCAAAAAATTCCCGGAATTCGTCATCCTGGCTAACACGTTATTTGCTCTGTTTTCATTATCCTTTGCGGCTTGTCATTTGCAGGTTGCCTGTTGCCCTTAGGCATTGAACTAGCGCCATGGATGGCTTCTGCTGCGATGGCTGCGTCCTCAGTGTCTGTAATTTGTCTCTCTTTGCTGTTACGCCGCTGGAAACGGCCGACAGAAGCATCCCTAGTGTGTCCAGAGTATGTTCGCCTTCTCACCAATTCTGGATTAGATAGTACAAAAGTAAGTATAACTGACCAGTATTGTCCTATTAAATATTAAGGAATAGTTGAAAACATTCAACTGATTTCCTTTTTGTTCAACTTTCGTTCGTATTTGTCTAGTCTTTTTTTACTTACGCGTGCAAACTTGAAACATTTTGCTGATTATACTGTTTATTGACTAATCTAGAAATTCTATTCAATGACTGATACTGCCCTTCGTTAGTCATTCATAAATGCATACGTATTGTTTTCGGAATTTCTTTCAGGCTGCAAATATAGATAAAGACTTGATGTTTTCGGTTGAAACTATTCTGTGTTGGGTAACAGACATTCCAGAAATTATGGCGCATTTATAGGATCTAATACGATCTAATATATTTCTTGATCACTTACGTGCCATCCACATATTTATCGTTGCTGTCAAATCAAGGTCCGGGTTTGGAAGAGTCGAGAATTGACCCTTGGCTCTGGATTGCGCAGCCTATCGGACCGAGCTATCTTGTGCAGAAACGATAATCGAAGAGCATTCTCCTTACGCAGTATCAGCCCAGTCCGAACAAGCAAAGATGCAGATAGTCAGAAGCTGCTTCACAACCACCAAAGTGATGGAGGATCGGATGATGGTGAAACGATCGTATTTTGCGCCAACCGATGTTCCTCTCAGTCTAATCCTTCAGCCGTTCATGTTTCGGACAGGCTGTCTAAAAGATGATATGCGCTAATGTCTTTCTCGTTTATTGACCTCACTTCATCCCGGTCTTAGCGCCATTTGTTCACATAAGTATCAGTGTACCTCTCTGTGATCATGCGTCTTTGTTCGTCTGTTTGTTCAGTCCTAGTAACCCAAGCCCAGACTGTTGTTCCCCTTTGAATTGGACCAGTTCTTCGGTCAAATTTATACACAATCCTTCTTCTGGTTTATTTTTTATTGTTTTGTCATGTGAATTGTCGTATGATGTCTTGAGCATTTCCTTTTGTTCTCTTCTCGTTGAATTTCCGAATGTTCACTCGGTTGATTTCAGACTATTATTTACCATATCCCGATTGTCCTCACTACCGATATGATTCATTTCAAAGCTTCCAAAGACGTTTGTGTATTCGTCTGTTGTTTCCTCGGAGTCATACGAATTGCACCCACTATGATGTCTTCTCTTAATCCAGAGATTAGTCCTGGGATATTTTCAGAAAGACTATATTTATGTACTCAGGATTAATGGAAATACTCCTTTCTTAAGGTAAACTGTATTGTATTAAAAACTTTCAGTTTTTTTACGCTGCCCCGGTTCAAAATACTTGTTTGATGCTTGGCTAAAAGAGTAAAACGTCAACTAAACGTTCACTTCAGTTTTTACAACCATTAATCGCGCACATGAGCAGTATCATATTTCATAAAAGTATCTAGCATTTGCAGTAATTATTTTATCGATTCTTTGATTCATATTTTCAACAGGTCTACTTATGAATGTGATCTGCATCCTATCGCTCACTTTCCTACTTCTTCAGACAAGGTAACACCCAGCCTTTTTCAATCTTGCAACCGAAATAATCCCACGTCTGTCCGATGGGATGTAGATCTGGTGGATGCGTTGGTCATTGAAGTGTATATTTGGTACTCACGAAAAATTCTCTTTCTTGATGAAATCCTGCTTTAACATATCATAATAATCGGCTATCGATTGCTGATATAATTGTCAATGTATAGTCTGTCGGAATATTGGTATCCAACATTCAAATCACAAAATAAGCCCATCTTCGTAGTCCTATTTATATAACGAGTGTTGTGTTGAGGTCAAAAAATGAAGCAAAGGGGTGAAGTAGGGACACGCTGTTTCTAGCTCTTTTGTTCAAATAAGAATGGGTTGATAACTGATTTTGGCCCTCACAACGCTCATACGTGATGTTGTCCTCTTTGGACCACGGGAGTTCAAGTGTTTTTTGAGCACACAATTCTGTCTTGAACAAGTGAATGATAATGCCTGGGATCATAATAAATAATTAATTACTTTAGAATGACCCTTTTCAACCACACGATCGAACGATAGGCTGTGAGGTGTTTCTTTCCCTTGTAATTACGGGTCGTTCAAATCTGTTTGGGCACCGCACAACTTTCCGACCATAACCGTGTGTTTCGTTCTTCCAGCGAGTGGTTTGCTGGCTCCCATGAATAAACGGCGCTCATCTCTTTATCGTTAATCATGCGTAGGTGAATTAAAAACTAATCTTCGTCATTCAGTGGTAGTTACACGTATTAACGAGTGCAATTAAGTGTCGCATTAGATTTGCATTATTGATTATACTGTCTGCCGAGGTGAGGAGATAAAGCAAAATTCAACATGGTTTAGTTGCCAGTAGGGTTACGCAATGGTAAATTTCTAGGCGCCGTCGGTGCTTATTACCAATCTTCACCAGAATGGTATTTCTCTTTCAGGTTGCTGATCGTAAACCAGATTTCCTAAATTATTTTACCACTGATCATATAGCACGAATGGTGAATAGCTGATAGAAAGTGTCGCAGGCACGGACACGGCCTTGGTCATTAGTATGAAAAGGCCGCCAAATTGAAATGAACTTCTCGAGCACATCCTTCAGTGAAAAGCAGCGCCAGGGTTTAGAGCGGTCGACTGAGTCGAAAGCCGCTTTCAGGTCGAAGAAGACAGAGATATTGGATCTGCGGAAAAATATCGGTGCTCAGGAATTTGGCATAGAGTGAAGATGTGGTTGATACAACCTCGGCCAGGTCTAAAACCAACCTGATTCACACGCGTGCACTCTCCACGTGCGGTAGACCATCGACGGAGCATGATCCCAGGGACAAGTTTACGGGCAATGTTGCTTCGAATAATCCCTCAAGGTTTTCAAAAGAGGATCTACCACCTTTCTTGTCAATCGGTAAGATGACCGATTGACACCATTCAGTTGGCACCTGTTCCGTCTCCCATGTGGAGTCCCGGAGTTTGGTCAACTTCAAGACTAACGTTATACATCCATCCTTAAAAGCCGATTGAGACTTCCCATCTGGGCCGAAAGCCTCTTGCCTTTTGAGATAAATTGTTTCTCTGGAAACCTCCGTTTCAGATGGAGGACTGACATCCACTAGACGCATTTGCCCAGTCGAGGTGGGGGGCCAGTTGATCTGAGCCTCGAAATGTTCAGCCCATCGATCAAGACGGCGTTGCTGATCGTGAATCATTGGGCCCGTATTCCTGATTACACAGGAAAGATTGCGACTATGGCCGGTAGAAGCAGCTTTTTCCATCTCTCTACACTTGGCTACCCACCACTTCTCGTGGTCATTCCTCAGATTGTTGATGAACTGGCTTTTAAGGGAGAGATCAGCTTCGAAGGCTGATTTGCAACAATCGCTGACATCGCATCTTGGGTATCCATTGTTTGTGGCTTTTTACGGTCGTTTACCGGGCGTAGGGAGAATTTGGCTCGTAACAACGAGCGGTAGTCGTCGATGCATCCTCGCCAACGGTGACTGATGGCGATGTCATCCATGTGAAACGGTATCTTTTCTTTTGGGAGAATTTGTTTCTCGATAGAAACAATCCGNAGGCACCAGTTGATTCGTCCAGATATCCGACTTGAGCAATGAAGCCAACTCCGACTATCACGGTATATGCTGACTGAGTACCTTGGAGCAAATAAGAAATATTCTTGTAGAATTCATCCTTCATTTTAAGTGCACTGCAATCGGTTGGTGCATACTCGGATACGACGAATAAGCACCGGCGCTGTTGACCCGTACTGAACCATCCAAATGTACGGCGCATAGTCGGCTACTGACTGGAATCCAATAAAAAAACTAGCGCTCGGTCTTGGCGCCAGCCCAACACCGC